TCTCGAAAAAACCAAAAAAAAAAAAAAAAAAAATAGTTTGTTTCTTAAATCACGCTGCTTGGCCCTCCCTGTGCTCTTCCCCTGCTCGCCTTTCATTGCTTTTCCATCATTTCTATGGGGTCCCATACAGCAGCTGAGCTTTTACTCTTGTTTCGAGTTTGTTAGTAAACGTGTGTCAATTAGTAACACTGCCCATTTAGTCACATTTTTCTTTTCCTCAGACAGCTAAGAGTTCCTCTTTAGTCCCACCAGGAAGACACATGGCGAACCTTCACATACCTGAGGGCAGATGAAGCCAGCCCCATACATGATGCTCCTTGCGGAAGAAGAGAGAGCCTCGGTGGGAATGAGGTTATTGGCAAAGATCATCATGAAGTTACTGAAGAAGGTCAAATGGAAGACTTGGAAGAAATTCACGATGAGGAAAAGGTGGAAGTTCCTCTGAGACAAGATTTGTCTCATGGGCAAGATGGTGGAGGTCCACGCCAGCTCCTGTTCACTCTCAGAGAGGAAGGCTTCCTTCGGGTTTCTTTTACATTCAAAATGCCGCATATGGAACATGCCACTGTAAAGGCTGGTAGCTGCCAGGAAGGCGGTGACGACGGCGACGACCTGAAAATTGGGCAGGATTTCCATGTTGTGAGAGATGAGGCCACAGAAGAGGACGCTGGTGGAGCCCAGCAGGGATGCCACCTGGTTGATTTTCATCAGCTACAGCTTGCTCTCGTGCCTGGGGAAAATCTCTGCAAACGATCGGCCCTGGGCTTGCCGCACCCAGCTAAGGGGGCTGTCAAACGCGCACAGGGAGATGACCAGATGAAGTCCCTTGAGCCAGTCACCTTCTTGATAGTGTCTCCAAGGGAACCAAGGGAGCAGGAAGGCCGCTGCATGCAGAAGGGTTCCAAACAGGGAACAGTGGTAACTCAGACAGCAATCATACTCAGAGTTCCTTAGAAAATACCCGCTCAGGTCATTCAGAACATTCCAGATCATTAAAATTACCTAAGGAGAGAGAAGAAAAATACACATATAGGTTGTGTGGTTGTTAGCAGTGTAGACTACTACATTCAAGATGAGACTGACCCCGGAGGCTGAGTATGATGGCATACGCCTGTGATTTCAGCACCTGGGCGGCTGAAGGAAGTGCATTATTGAGTCTGAGACCTGTCTGCAATACACAGTGACCCAGAGAGCAGAAGGGAGGGAGGGAAGAAAAGGGGGGAGGTAGGAAACAGGAAGGAAGAAATCCTGATGAGAAGTATCTAAAGCTGAAAAGTCGAAGTTTTCAGAACTATTAATTAGCATCAATAATAGTGGTAGAATGCCACTCAAAAGGCAATGTATATTTGTTTTGCATTCAGGTATAGTACAAGTGTTTACATGTATTACTTTATCAAATCCTTAAAAAAATAACCCTCTGATATAGGCATTGTTATTCCTCTGAATTTACAAGGTTTCTTTCTTTTTAAATAATGTTGGAATTTTTTAAATTTATTACCCTTTTTTTTTTTTTTTTTTTTGGTTTTTCAAGACAGGGTTTCTCTGTGTAGCTTTGCGACTTTCCTGGATCTTGCTCTGTAGACCAGGCTGGCCTCGAACTCAGAGATCCACTTGCCTCTGCCTCCTGAGTGCTGGGACTAAAGGCGTGTGCCACCACTGCCTGGCTCAAGGTTAGTTTCTTCGGACAGAGAAGATAAGCAATTCATCTAGCTAACTAAACAGAGTAACCTTGGAACCAAAGCAGTGAACCCAGAGTATGTCTCCCACTGTGGCACACAGGGCCATACTTCCTCATGAAATTCAGGCCCTTCCTCCTGTTAAAATTCATTTATTTACTTTATGTTATGTCTATGAATGCTTTGTCTACATGTATGTATGTATACTATGTGCTTGCCTGGTACCTATGGAGGCCAGAAGAAGGCATCAGATCCCCTGGAACTGGAGTTCCAGATGGCTGTGAACCACCATGTAGATGCTGGGAACTGAATCCAGGTTTTCTAGAAGAGCAAAATGTGTTCTAAATCAATGAGCCATTTTTCTACCCTTCCAAGACATCATTTTCCACAGCTACATTAAGTAAGATTACGATACCAACAATAATAAATCAACTCAAAATCAACTTAGTAAATTATGTAGTTCTGTAATAAGCAACATTATAAAGCACAAGGGGAAATGTAAAAACATATCTATCCATTCAGTTCATTTATGATAAATTATAATACAATTTGCCAATATTATCAAGCTTTTCAAGGTATAGCATCTGTGCTGGGTAGTTTTATGACAACTTGGCACAGGTTGGGGTCATCTGAGAGGAGGGAACCTCAATTGAGAAAATGCCTTCATAAGATTGGGCTGCAGGCAGGATTACAGGGCATTTTCTTAATTAGATTGATGTGGGAGGGCCCTGTCCATGTTGGTAGGGCCACCCCTGAGCAAATGGTCCTATAAGAAGGCAGGCTGAGCAAGCCATGGGGAGCAAGCCAGTAAGTGGCACCCTTCTATCATCTCTGTATCAGGTCCTGTTCCAGGTCCTTGCCCTGTCTGGAGTTCTTGCTCTGACTTCCTTCAGTGATGGACTATGATGTGGAAGTTTCAGCCAAACCCTCTCCTCCCCAACTTGCCTTTGGTCATGGTGTTTTATCACAGCAATAGAAACCATGACTAAGACAGTATCTCCTTCTCCTCCTTCCCTCTCTTCTCTCCTCTCCTCTCCCAACCCACTCCCTTTGCCTTTCTCTCTCTCTTTTCCCTCCTCCCCTCCCTTTCTTTCTTTTTGAGATAGGATCCCTCTAAATAGCCTGGACCAGCCTTGAATTCTCAACAGTCTTTCTGCCTCAGTTTCTTAAGTACTGAGATTACAGGTTTGCACCACCATAGTACAACATTTTCTTGATAACTTGCAGGTATGTGAAGAATCCACTCTTTGATAAAAGACAGTAAGACACCATGATAAGGAAGAAAGCTCTCTCCTACATTTAAGGAGAAAAAATTGCATCCCACCTGGGATTGATAGAAGGCCAACTCTGAAATCTTGTACAGTTCCAAGAAAAGTTTCACACAGTAGAAACTGAAAAAAGAACTTAACATTTCAGTTCCTAGTGTAATCAGAGAGTATGCCCAGGCTGTGGATTTGATATTTGAAAGTGTCATTTTCCATGCAGAGGAAGTTTTCCTCCCTGTTTAAAAAAAAAAGTTAGAATTCATTATTTGCACACAATAGTTGATAGGTTAAAAAAATTCCCTTAACATTAGTAATGTTAGTTAAAATCCAAAAATACTTGCTGTAAATGTCACCAGATTTCTTTATCTATTTATTTTATACTTATTCAACATTTTTGAGATGTTGCATGAGCCCCAATTTGCATGATGTATGACTCTAGTTACATTTGTGTGTGTTTGTGTGTGTGTGTGTGTGTGTGTGTGTGTGCGCGCGCGCGCGCGCGCAGAGACACCATATGTCAACACTGAGTATCTTCTGCTATTGCTTTTCCATTTGTTTGTTTGTTTATTATTTGTTTATTGTTTGTTTATTTATTTATTTATTTATTTATTTATTTATTTATTTATTTATTTATTTTGAGGCTGAGTCTTTCACTGAACGAGGATCTCACCTATTCAGGAAGACTAGTGACTAGAAAGACCCAGGGATCCTCTCGTCTCTGCTTCTCCGAGCTAGGACTGCAGGCATACACCACCACACCTGCTTCGTTGTTTCCTCACATGGATGCTGAGGATGGAACTCGGGTCCTCAGGCTTGCACCATGGGCACTTTAACAACTACGCCATGTCCCTAGCCTCTACTTACATTTTCATATGTCTTCTAAATGATCAAGTTTAGACATGCTGAGCTGGTGGTCAAGGAGATACGTTTAAGCATCAGCCTCCCTAGCCTGAGAAGGAGGAACAGAAAATGAACAGTGAGATGGCAGCCTTTTGCTAAAATCAGAAGAGGACTCCAAGGTCCTTGTCTGTGATTAGCTGCTCATCCCACAGCACACACTTAGTGCAATAGTTATGTGACCTTCTCTCCATAGACTATGTAGCTTTGTGTTGTGGGATAGTCGTACACCGCAAAGATGTGCGATGGGTGTAATAAAAAGCTGAACGGCCAATAGTTAGGCAGGGCAAGCTAGAAGGGGCTTCCGGGCAGAGAGAGAGAATGAGGGGAGAAAGAAAGGCAGAGTCACCAGCTGGACACAGAGGAAGCAGGATGGGCAGTACAGAGTAAAGTTAACTAAGTCATGTAAAAACATAGATTAAAAGATATGGGTTAAAGTTATAAGAACGAGTTAGGAACAAGCCTAAGCTACGGCCAAGCTTTCATAAGTAATAATAAGTCTCTGTGTCATTATTTGTGACCTGGCAACCCCCAAAAAAATCCGTCTACAGCTTTGATCCAAAAGCCATATCCAAGAGGAACCAGAAATAACTTTTTTGTTGTTGTTGTTGTTTTGCTTTTCAAGACAGGGTTTCTCTGTGTAGCTTTGGTCCCTGTCCTGGATCTTACTCTGTAGACCAGGCTGGCCTCCAACTCACAGAGATCTGCCTGGCTCTGCCTCCTGAGTGCTGGGACTAAGCATGTACCACCACCACCACCCGGCTCATATTCTTGTTCTAATGTAGATGCCCCTCTTAAAGATAGCCTATCACCTCACTTTTGATCTGTACAAGTGGAAAACAGAGAAAGGTTAGCTAACAGTAGGGAGATGTAAATTCAGCTCGTTTTTGTTTTGTTTTCCCAGACAAGGTCTCATGAGCTCAAAGGCTGACCTCAGACTTGCTACGTAGCACAGGCTGACCCTGAGCTGCCTCCACCTTCCAAATGCTAGAGCTGCAGGTGTGCACCACCATGCCCAGTTTGTGTGGTGCTTGGGATCAAGCCCCGGGGTCTCGTGTATGCTAGGCAAGCATATTCCCAACTGAGCTACCTCTCCAGGCCCAGATTAACTTTTTAAAACTTGAATTATTGATTACATATTTAAGATAATGTAGCTCAGGCTGGCTTGGAACTTGGAATGTTCCTGCCTCAGTTTCATGCAGGGTAGAATTAGAGGGCTGTACTTTGGCACCCCACCGATCTTCGTTATCCTTGGCCTACTAGACAATTTCACCAGCTCTCTGTGGACTAACTGAACTGGGGAAGAGATGAATTTCCACATAATCTGAGGATATTGCTCACTTGAATAGTCTTTGGGCTTCTCCTTTAACCTTAGAGTAGCAGGAACAAATCAGCAGACAACTCAGTCTACAGTGTCCCATTCCTGAGGGACAGGGAAGGCAAGTGGGAAGGGGATGGGCATCACAGATGACCAAGTTACTGGTCCCCCAAACTCCAGAGAAAACCAAAAATGACAAAAGTTGGGTGTGGTGGTGCAACCTGTAATCCCATCACTCTGGGGGGCTGAGGTAAGAGGTTCAAAGAAGTGAATTCAAGAGCAGCCTAGGTTCTGTGAAAATCTCCAACAACCTGCCCCTTCAATTATTGGTTTCCAATCTTTACGCTCTGGTAGACCCAAAGAGAAGTTTAATTGTATGCACCATAGAGCTCCAGAATTATCAAAAGGGGTTATTAAGCTGGCATGCTAGTACATACTTGTAATCCTAGCACTCTGAGGCCTGAGGAAGGAAGATGAGGAGCTTGGAGCCAGCCTGGGCTAAGCACTGAGACCCTGTCTCACAGATAGAAACAAAAGGACTACTAAGTCCATATGAAACATTATCAGCAGATTAAGAAAGATGTTTTTTTCTCAGCCTGTAGCTCATTGGTAGAGTGATGGTCCTGGGTACAATTTCCAGTACTGCAATAACAGCAATGAAAATGTTTTATCCGTGTGTATTTTTTTTGTTGTTGTTGTTGTTGTGTTTTTTGTTTTTGAGTCTGAGTTTCTCTGTGTAGCCCTGGCCATCCTGGAACTCACTATGTAGATCAGGCTGGCCTGGAGCCCAGAGATCTGCCTGCCTCTGCCATCCAAGTGCTGGGATCAAAGGCGTGTGCCACCATCACCTACCTGGCTTGTGTGTGTAGTGGGTAGTTTTGAGCCATGCCCTGAAGCATCACCCCTAGTGAGGCAGCTGTAGTTGTTACACTTGCCTATGACCTTGAAATACCTGCCCCTAGGGCATGGTCACCCTTAAGACCTGAGATGCACATAAACTCTCTCTCTTGGCTACCTTGTGGTTCTGGATGCTGAGATCTTGGACCAAGCCTTTCAGCGTGGGATATAGCTCAGCTTTCCCCAACCCTATGACAAATCTCCCATGGTTGTGAGTTTACCCCCAAACAAATTCCTTTGGTCATTAAGCTGATTCCGTGGATTGCTAGCGATTTAATCACATTATGTGTGTTTTTGTTTTTGTTTTTAATTATGGGAGTGGGGTGGGGCTGGTATGTGCATATGAGTGTAGTTGCCTGTGGAGGCCAGAGGTGTCAGATCAACCTGAGCTGCAGTTAAGCATTGAGTCATCTCCTTAGCCCCAGGTAGTCATATTTTTTAAATATGCGTAAATTCTGCTTTAATGATAAAATACAAATCTGTTTTTCATTTCATCGTTCTGCAATTCTCAAGCCTTAAGAAGTCCAAGTACTGCAGTATCACGAGGTCAGTCAACATTTTTGGCTTTAAAAGGTAATTCTCAAACTAGAAAAGCTGGAAGTACTGGTGAAGGCTTCCCCCTCGGGATTTGCTTTTGGTGTAAGTTCGAATGAAAATTGAGGCTAGAGGTCACCTTGTTACTTAGTCAAAAAAAAAAAAAAAAAAGAAAAAGAAAAAAGTTGGGGAAGTTGGTACAGCCCAAAGCCAAGATACAAATTTAGCCCACAAAAATCTAGACATTTTGTACTTCAGGCTTTCTAGCACAGGCATGCTGAGTCTTTCTGAACTGTTCTTCTAGCATTAAGTCAGAAGGGAGACATTCATAGACTCGGATCTTTGCAAAGTCTCATAAGCTCCCCAAGTTCAAAAGAAGAATTTTTCAAAGAATTCGAGTTAAGTACCCAGCCTGTCTGAAGTGAACACAAAGTTTTAATAGCATTATGGAAAAACTCTGAACTCTTTACTTATATATATTGCGGAGGGGGGGGGGGAATCTTAATTTCCCTCACAAAACAAATAAACAAACAAAACAAAACACATCAATATTTTCCTTTCAATTACATCTAGTCAATGTTTATTTCAGTATCAAACTGAAAATCACTTCTCATCTTTTAAAAGCTATTACTGTCTAAAAACTCCCTTAACATGATTTTACTATATGATGTGGAGTGTTTCATCTTTACAGCCAAGAACAAAGGATTCCAGAAGCCAACTTGTCTTTACCACAAAGTGTTTTATACAGCAGAGATTAAAAGCAGCAGGATGCAGTCATGCTAAGTTTGGATCAGCAAACTGTACACTGGTAAATTATTAAGCAGACCCCGAAACCCCCTGTTTAGCATCAACTTGCACAGTTATTCACTAACCCTCTTCTCGGCCAAATTTTATAACTGCAGATGCTATTTATGATTGCTTGGTGAAGACCCGTGGAAGACAGAGCTTTTAGCTCCAAAGGCTTTTCTCAATGCACTCTTTGTTCAGGATTTTGCAGAACACACACAAAAATGACCCTCTCTGAAAAGAGCATCCCTAAAAATGAACCCACAGACCCAAAATGAATAAAGTCTCTAGGGGCTATTCCTTATTTCTTCTGAAAATTGTTAAAGAACAATTTGGGGGTGTATTGTATCCCAATACACCCCCAAATTTGGAACTGATATGGGTTTGTCCCAGAGAAAACAGTCACCATCAGTGACTGAGCTCAGATACATGATTCCAGGTCTTCAGCTTCCACAATCTACAAGTCCTAAATTGAATTTTCTTTCTTTCCACAGGGTTCTGTCTGATTATAGTAACTGGTTCTACATTGTCTCATTTTGTATCTGGACTGATATACTGATGTTTCTGGAAGAGGCTTTACAGGGGACCTAGTTTCCTGTTTTAAAAACACAGCAATGAAAAGTTGACCAGTGACATTCTGCCTTTTAGTGTACTTGTCAGAAGGGACTCATGAGTTCACCATTTCTCTGTTAATATTACTACTTGTTTAAAATTGTACTTGTATGCTGGGCAGTGGTGGCACACACCTTTAATCCCAGCACTTGGGAGGCAGAGGCAGGCGGATCTCTCCAGTTCAAAGCCAGCCTCGGCTACAGAGTGAGTTCCAGGACAGGCTCCAAAGCTACACAGAGAAACCCTGTCTCAAAAAACCAAAAAATAAAATTAAAAATAAATAAATAAATAAAACTGTACTCGTGCTGTGGGATGGTCTGTATGTCAAATTGCTCTGATTGGTCAATAAATAAAACACTGATTGGCCAGTGGCCAGGCAGGAAGTAGGTGGGACAAGGAGAGAGGAGAATTCTGGGAAGCGGAAGGCTGAGGCAGAGAGATACTGCCAGCCGCCGCCATGACAAGCAGCATGTGAAGACTCCGGTAAGCCACAAGCCACATGGCAAGGTATAGATTTATAGAAATGGATTAATTTAAGATATAAGAACAGTTAGCAAGAAGCCTGCCACGGCCATACAATTTGTAAGCAGTATAAGTCTCTGTGTTTACTTGGTTGGGTCTGAGCGGCTGTGAGACTGGCGGGTGACAAAGATTTGTCCTGACTGTGGGCAAAGCAGGAAAACTCTAGCTACATACTTGTTTGCCGGGCAATGGTGGCACTCACCTTTAATCCCAGCACTCGGTAGGCAGAGGCAGACAGATCTCTAAGTTTGAAGTCAGTCTGGTCTACAGAGTGAGCTCCAGGACAGCCAGGGCTACACAGAGAAACCCTGTCTTGAAAAACAAAAACAAACAAACAAAAGTATTCATGTATTTATTGTGTTAGGGAGGTGTGCATGTCACAATAACATGCATGCAGAGTTCAGAGGACAACTTGGTGGGAGCTGGTTCTTGCCTTGCACCATGTGGGTTCCTAGCATCAAATTCAGCTTGTCAGGCAAGGAAGCAAGCAGCTTTACCCACTGAACTATCTGGATGTCTCTACTTTGTTTTGCTTCTGTTTGCTCTGTTTTCTAAGACAGGGTCTTGCTATGTAGCACAGACTGGTATCAAACTCACAACCCTCCTGTCTATATATTCCCATCGCTGAGGGCACCACCATACCCAGCTAATGCAATGTTATTACTTTTATACTTTTGGTTGGCATTCCCCTACAAGAAAAAACTTTCTCATTTATTTATGTCACCATGGACTCATCATTAACAGGTTGCAACCTGTCACTATTACTACTTATCCTGATACTCATGGACTGGGACTATGGCTCAGTACTTTCCTTGCTTGTGAGTAGCCCCTCAATGCCACCAGAGGGGAAAAAAAAGAAAAAGAAGGAAGAGGGAGGCAGAGAGAGAAGAAAGTATATTATTTTGACACTAACTGTTGTTCTTAATGGTACCTTCAAAATAAGTGTTAGAAATAACACAGCTCTACTGGGCAGTTTCTTTGATTCTCACAACTCTGGTGAGGAAAAAAAAATTCATCTCTCCTAAGTGGTGCACTGAAGCCTTCTTTGCTAGTACAGACTGTGGCTGGACACCTAGATTTCTAACTCTAGGTCCTTTATACTTTTTAGTCTAAGAAGACAGGGTTTCTCTGTGTAGCTTTGGAGCCTGTCCTGGAACTCGCTCTGTAGCCCAGGCTGGCCTCGAAATCACAGAGATCCGCCTGCCTCTGCCTCCCGAGAGTGCTGGGATTAAGGGCGAGCGCCACCACTGCCCAGCGAAGACTTTCTTAAGGAATTGAAGAAGAAAACCTCCCAGAACCACCTCACTGTGGGGACAGGGTATGGTGGTGCATGGCTTTTATTCCAACATTCTGGAGGCTGAGTCAGGTGGATCTCTGTGAGTTCCTGGCCAGTCTAATCTGCATAGTGAGTGCCAGGCCATCTGGGGCTAGACAGTGAGACCCTGTGCAAACAACAAAAACAAACCTTACAGCGGGGAGCCTTTGTCCTTCACCAGACCACTATCCCAGGAGCAGGTGTTTAATGTTACACTGATCTGAGCAAGGTGCATTTTATAACCCACAAGAATGAAGACGTCTGGAGAAGTAGCTTAGGGGGTAGTGAGTGGATTGACTGGAATGCAGGAGGCACTAAGTTCATCCTTAGCACTGAAAAAAGAAATTAGGGTGAAGTTTCCCTTACTCCAAATTACCCAAGATCTCACTCGTTTATATGGAGAAACAAAAGTAACTGAGGATCTGTAACTTCTTTCTAGCAATTTCTCCTATTTTTAATCATAGTAATTTGTGTACTTTTTTTTAAGGCCACACGACTGACGCTTTTTTTTTTTTTTTTTTTTGATAAGGCAAACTTATAACTGCTTTCCATTTTAGTTCTGGTGACACTCCGGATCTGTACGAAGGCGTTGTTACTACAGGAGGTATCTAGCGACTCACTACTGCCAAAGTTGAACATTTACTTCTCTCCCCTCACTTGTTACAATTCTCCTTTCCTCGGTAGACCTGATCTATCTGCTCTAAGAGCTGCGCCGTCCTTTCTCCCTCTGAGAGGATTCACGAGGTGGTGCCCGAAGGTGCTAAAACCTCAACCCAAGAAACGGTAGTTACGTCTGCGTCAACAAGAGGACACTGCCCTGCTGGCCTCAAGTGCAACGCCTGCTCCCAGGTTTATCTCGGGCTCTAGGAACCTTTCAAAAACATTCTATGCAAAACTTTCCCCAGGGGAGGCGGCTCCCACGGGCCGGTCCCGGCCTCTGAACGTCAAGTGGGGCTGGTGACCGCCGTTTTAGGGGTTAATTTCCATCCCCTGGGAGGCCAGGGCTCAGACATTCAGGAGCAGCTTTCACTCAATAGCGTTCTCTTGGCCTTAACCTCGCGACGGACCCTGAATCTCCCTCCGCGCATCACCAAGGGCAAAGCCGAGGAGGGCTGGCTCGCTTCCGAAACCTTTAGGTGGGAAGATGATGCCCACTGCCCCGAGCCGCGAGTCCTCCGCAGCTGAGTGCAAGACACGCCAGAGAGCCGACGGGGTCACCACAGCCGCCTCCACACTCCGGAATTGGAGTGCACTCACTGAGAAGACGCAACGCTGACAAAAGGGGCGGGGCCGCCGGCCGCACCCTCTCCGCCTTTACCCGCCTCCTTTGTTCCGTCCTGAGCCTCTATTGGCCAACGAACCTCGGGCCCGCGACCTTCTTTGAGATGCTATTGGCCGAAGTCGCTGTCGCTCTGCCGGGGGCCCCTTCGCAATTGGTCAAGGCGCCGCCCGGGTTTGAATCGTCTCCCCGGCCTGGGAGGGCTCTGCCAAAGTGCCACGTTGGGCCGGGCAGCGGGCTTGAGGAGCCGGCTCCGGGCGCCTCCCGGGGTGCGCTCGCTA